TCACGGGTCATAATATCACCGTTCACGTGGTTGGTAAAACGGCCGCCGTCATTGAAAAAGGTGCAATGATGAGAATTTATCCCGATCATAAAGGAAATTTCGAGCAAGAATTTGATTTTTGTGAGTTATTTGTCGAACCAAGCGGGTTCGTTTATTGAAGTATTAAACTTTCAATTCATCTATATAAAATGTATTGAATCGTAAATAATTCATGGAAAATTAATCCGAATTAAAATATGATATTTTGAACAAAAGCAAAGGTTATGAGAAGATAGGTAAAAATTTACTTTAAAATAACTATATTACCTAGTAATATTTTTTTTTTTTAATTTGTTATCGTTAGAATCATTAGTCAATTATACCAATCTGCAATTTTTATTAGGTGATTAGGAATTTTGCTGTAAAATAATTTATTTACGAGACACCGATATTAAAAAGATAAAAAAAAGACCTATTTTACAAGAGATTTAAATGTGAAACTATCTTATAGTTACTTCTCAAAAAAAAACTTGAACATAAAGGTTATGTAGAAGTTAAAAATTTAAGCAATAATACAGGGAGGATTCGGCATAATTATTGAGGTATTGAGTTTTTAAATATTTAGGATCGACATTACTTAAAGAATTAGGTAAATTAGGTAATCTAGTTATCTTAGCACTGCAAAGGAGTTCTTTTAGGGAGTTAGGTAAAGTTGGTAGGGTAGTTATTGGAGTATCATTGCAATAAAGATTCGTTAAGGAGTTAGGTAAAGTAGGTAGAAAAAATATTAGAGTATATGAGCAATTTAGTTTCGTTAAGGAGTTAGGTAAAGTCGGTAGGTATCTTATCGAAGTATCAGAACAGTTAAGATAATTTAAGGAGTTAGGTAAAGTTGGAAGTTTCGTTATTTTAGTGCTATTACACCTGAGTATCGTTAAGGAGTTGGGTAAAGATGGTAAAATAGTAATTAGAGTATTAGAGCAATCAAATTCCGTCAAGAAGTTGGATAAAGTTGATAAACTAGTTATTTTAGTATTATTGCAAATGAGTTTAGTTAATTTGCGATATCTTCGTAATCCTCCTAAGGCGGTGTTTAAAATGTCAGCTATATTAAATTCCGTAATCGTTAATCTTTCAATAGTATCATCATAAATAATATCTGATACTTCAACATTTAATTCTAATTCTTCTACATTCTTCTGATTAGCCAAATGAGGAATAATTTCAGAATTATTTTTTTGATCATTTATCTGATCAAATCGACAAATTTGAGATACTTCTCCAAAAGAATTTTTCATATTAGAAGAAACATCGATGTTATCCAAAAATTATTCACTTGAACATTTTCTTGTATGTTTTTTATCGTAATAATTGCATATAATTTATCCACTACTTGACTCATGGTTGGACGTTTATCTGGCTCATTATTCCAGCATTTGTAATCACAAAACTACTTAGAATTATAATTATGTAATATATTTATAATAATATATTTACTGGTATAAATGGTTACGTAGTCTTCAGGTGTATCAGGAATCATCCATTCTCGAAGTCCTTGTAAAATTGCTATAGCTAAACCAATGTCATATTCTTCACCTTTAACATAAAATGGAGAACGTCCACTTGATATCTCCCATAAGAGTACGCCAACATTGTATAATCACTCTTTTCATTTAGTTTAAATCGCAATGTATTGTCACTTGTTCGATTATTAAAACATTTTGATCAGTATAAGGAATTACACCAAAAAGTTTCGACTGATTAGTTGATATTTCAATTCTTTTCGATAATCCAAAATCAGCTAATTTAATAACACCTTGACGAATTAATATATTGCCGGAATGCTATTCATATAAAAAAAAAATTAATTATTAAATAATAAACGGGCAATGCTATAATAAAAATAAGATTACCAAATCACGATGCACAATTCCTTCTTCATGTAAACACGACAGTGCGCTAGCCAACTGGAATGCAAAGTTATACTTGTCCTCCCAAGTAAGCTTATGAAAATTTTCTTTCAAATAACTTCTAAGTGCACCACCATCAGCATATTACATTATTAACCAATATTTTTTCAATTGATCATTTTGATTTTCTAATTTTTTTTTTTAAAAAAAAACAATTTAAAAATATATAAAACACATGGAGAAAAATTTCGATATATAAACATTATTATGAAGATTTACCTTGTTTGAAGTTATCCCACAAAAGCCAATAATATTGTCAAGAAAATCAACTTCACGTTGAATTTCAAGCTAATTTTGTTATAATTATAAATTATACTTGATTTCATATACTTAAAAACGAAATACATATTATATTTAGTAATTACCTCACGAACAAGTTCTTTCGCAGTTTCATTATTAAAGTTATGAAACGATTTTAGCGCGAGATGTTGCTTTGAACTTTTCCAATTTGCACGATAGACTTTTTCCAAAGCTGCCTTTACCAATCTTTTGAATATTGCTAAATTGTTTGTATTCGTAATAATTGATATTTTTTTTTTGTAAATAGATTCTTCAATCCAATTAACCCACTCATATGAATTGTTAACTGCTTGCATTTTGTTTTATTTAATTTTGTATTTAGCGAAATGAATTAAAATTCTTGTCTTGTGAGAGAAAAAAATGCATGCGGTAAATTATTTATATAGCCATTTCCAGCTACCACACCAAATGATGAACTGGTGTCATTTAAATGTTGGAAATCAAAAAAAAATTATGTAAATCCTTTTTTTGTATAATTCCCCGGTCAAAAAAATTACGATATTTAACTTTTGAATGCTATTTTATCATGTTTGACAGTTATGTACTTGAACGCAATGCGACTTAATTTATCATATCATACATTATGTTTCTTGCCTTTATCCATGATTTCTCATTAGATTTTCATGATTCCTCTTGCAATACAACTTGATTCAAATCGAGTTACGAACATAGTAAATCATATGATCCGTGACGTGATTTTAATAGATTATCTCCCAAATAACAAAAAAAAATTTACTTAATTGTTGTTTTAATGATACATTAATATTCTTTCTAAAGTATAATAGATTAATTCAGTTATGCCGATATAAAACAAAAGCATTTAAATTCTCGTTAATGATACGGGTAGGGATTTGAATCAATTCAATCGATTTTAGAATCGATTTATTGATTTCAATACCTTAATTTCAGTTAAATTCTAATTTCAGACCTAAAATTGGGGATATCTGAAATTATACTTGACTTCACCAAAAAAATAAAAAATATTTTTCCAAGTTTCCATTGAATTAATTTTGTTTTTGGTTTTTGGTTTGATAACTTTGGGTCGTAACGAAAAATAAAATCTTACGTTCCTTTTTTATACTTTTGGGCTGGTTTATTTTTATTTTGGTGGTTTCAATTTGTATAGTCTGATGGTAAGATTTTTTTTCTGTATCAAAATTAAACACTATCTTTATTAAAAAAATTTTTTTTTTTTTTTTTTGATATTCAGCACTAATATATTAACTACACGTTTGTTGCCGTAACTTAACACAGTTGCAAAAGTTTTTGAAATTTTTCTCAGAACATCATATTATTTATATAAAAAACTATTTAAACGCGCTTATGATAAAGAATTTCCCTTATTAATAATAAATTTAAACCCTTATTTATCAGCGCTTTTTCTTTTAAAAAAAAGTGTTAAATTACTTAATAATTTTATATTTAATAACCCGATGAATTTGGTATATTGAGCAAACATGATAAAGGCAATAAACAACATATGCTGTTCAAGAATTGTTATTTCTAGTAAAATATATTTCTCTTTTTTCCGTAAGATAAGAACTTAAATTGTAATTGCTTAGTCTTGAAAAGTAAACTTTTATAATCAAAAAATGAGTGAATGATATATTAAAATTATCTAATATTTAGCAAATGCCGGCATTTTTTTTTTTATCAATAATTTTATTCTTTCATCTGACATGTTCCTCGTTATCTTCAAATTTTCAATATAAAATCTGGGATTTTAATAATAGAAGTATTATACCATAATCACATAACAATATCAAAATATCCTAATATATTAGGATATTTCACCATCTACGTTCTTAATACATAGATATTATTTTGTTTTTGTTTTTCTTCTCTCTTGGTTATTTTAATGAAAGAAAGATATTGTAAGAGGTTCCACAATAATTAATTCTTTAACTGCGACGCCGAACCAAACTGGGTCATAACATTTTTTGTTATTGATCTATTTATACAGAAATTCTAGAATTTGAGTTTCCAGTTTTTCTGGTTGGTTGAATTTCAACATTGATTCTGAAATATAAATTATTTTCATGTATTGTAAAAATATTAATAATCCAATTCAATAAAATCTATATAAAGGTATTAATTATATTAAATTCTCGACATTTTCTAATGAAGTCGTAATATTTGCCCAATATTTTCATTTTCGCAACATTATATGTACAGTACAGTATAAGTAATCTATTTGTCGTAGATATAAATGATTCATAGCGGTATCCGATTTATATCTATGATCTAGACAACGTTACATATTCCATGAGAGGATTTAATATTAGCTATAATAAATGTTTAGTTCTTGTTTCAAATTCTATTAGATATTCATAATTCTCTTTCCCTCAAATTAAATTAATTCCGTTGTGATAATATAAATTACTTTTTATAAAAATTTGAAACAACCGCTAATCCTGTTTTATTATTTTATCCAATGTATTTTCATCCGATATCCGTCATTAGAATAATAAAATTATTTTAATTAATATTTGATAATTAGGTTTAGTTCGTTTTGATTTATGAGAGTAAGACGCTGGCGTATCTTATTACCTTAATAATTTTGTACCATGCAAATTTCCTAGAGCTCAACGATCGTAAGTGCAATATTGTGTTTATATAGATAAAGTTTATGAATCAAATGATATTAAAAAGAATATATCTATTTATGAAACTAAATAATGAAATATGCAATTAGATCCCATTAATATAAAATACTGTAAAATTCAATTACTGTAAATATTAGAAAGTAATTCAAAATTTAATATTAATATATTTGGGCAAAGACATGCTCTTAGAAGATTTAAAGAACAATGGAAGCTTTTCAGAAGGTTTGGAAGTATAATTTTCTAATAAACCATTTGGAATAGAAGCTTCTAATCAAATTTTATACCCATTGGAAGCATAAAATGCACATCATTGTTTACGGGGTATGTCAGATAGTTTAATACCTAACTTTTCATATTATTAATTTATCGACCTTCCCATTGTATAAAATAAAGAAGTTGATAATATAAGTTCAATAAATTTACCGTTTACCGTCAATGTTGAATAATATTTGTAAGTATGATGTTTAAAAGTGGATAATATAATGTGAATTATTATTGTAATTTAATCTCCTTGCAATATGCGTCAAACTGTATGCGAGGTAAAAAGCTTTTAATGGATATTTTATTTAAAATAATTAAAAAATTTATGACCTTATCAAATAAAATTAAAAGTTAATTAATTATGGAGCGTAATTAATTACACTAATTATGGAATTAGGCCAGGCCAGGCCAGGCAAAAATTTTTTTCTAGATTCCCGGCTCAGCACGGTTATTTTTTTACATTATCATGTGACTTTATAAATAGTAGCGTATACTTTATTTTACAATAAACATGATTTTGCAGATTTTTATTATCTGCTCTCAAGGATTTTTTTGCTGGTAATAAAAATTTGAAAGATATTTAAGCATCGACGCATATCTCATTAATATGCATTAATTGTATAAATTTAATGTAATACTAATAAAAATTGTGTAAAAATAACTGGATGACCGTGTCAAATTGAAATTATATCTAAAATATTAGGAGGAAATCATAATTTCTATTAAAATGAAGAAAAGAATCTTGTAATGAAATTTGTTATTTGAAATTAAAACAATACATATGACGAATATAAAATGTTGCTGAGAAATAATTAAACGATGAAAATTCTTTAATATTTAACGCTATATAAAGATACAGGTTTGATCTCCATTAAAGAATCAGGTAAATTTGGTAATCTACTTATTTGTGTATCAAAACACCAGAGCTTTTTTAAGGAATCGGGTAAAGTTGGTAAGCT